ATCAGGGAAAATAGACTGCACAATACATAAATTAAGCAAATGATGAAACAATGGTAAAAAAGTGTTGGCATGCATTTTCAAGAAATCCATATTTATTTTATATTTGTCAAATGCATGTGAGCCATTTAGAGATTGGAGTGTATTCAAAACATCACTCTGTGAAATTTCAGAAAATGAAAATTGCTTTGAAGTGTCAGGATATTTAAATAACTTTAAATTATTAGCTTATCCCGGTAATGATGTCCTTACTGAAGAAATAAAATATTCATTAAATAAGTTAGCAGTTTTTTCATGATCAGAAACAAGAAGTCCATTTACTGAGATTTGTGAATTGTTATTAAATGTTTTATTGTTACTTTCACCTGTCACTGACTTAATCGTTTCCCATAATATTTTTGGATTCTTACTGGCTGAAATAATTTGATTTTTTTAAACGTTGTTTGGCTTTGCGTAATTYAGCAMCACATTTATTTCGGTAACTGTTTAAACGAGACCGATTTTCAGAAGTTTTTGATATTCTATAAGTTTTCATTGAAGAAGCTTTCAACTTTAGGAGATGTATTATAAGAGGCATTCAACCATGGAATTTTATTTTTCCGGACTGGAACTTTACAAGTTGAAATATATTTTTCCTGTATTGTCTCCAACTTATCATAAAAATTTGACAAAATGTAATTTGGATTTGACAGAGAAATACCCTCATTCCAGTTAGTATTCTCAATCTCAGCATGAAACATGGGTAACTTTGTTTTTGGAATCCTTTTAATGAAATTATGCACATGACCTGTAGGTTTCTTAAGGTTTTTTCTAATGACATAAATAAGTGAATGATCCGAGATTGAAGTATTTATAACTCCAGATATGCCATATATGGAGGATCGATTTGTGAAAATAAGATCCAAAATGGAATTGCATGTCTTGCCAAATCTTGTTGGTACTTTAATTAACTGTTGAAGCCCTAAGTTTATAGACATTGTTTTCATTTTGGCAATGCTATGTTCACATTCAGACATTCCCCTTTGACATCACTTCCTGTTACTTCCCATGCAAATATCCTAACAACTGTTCATCTCAGCGACATGAAATCTTTTTTTTTTTATAATATGTTATCTTTTAAAAAATACATTCGTATTTATTACAAAAATTTTGATTGTCACGGGCATTTTAACACTTTAGATTGTTTTGGGCCTGTATTACTGTTTATTTACCATTTTTGAACAAACTGATAACCACTTTAACATGTATTAAATTAATTTTAAGTTCCCTACAGCTCTTAAAACACTAAAGTTTAAGATGTTTAAGGTGTGATTCACATATATCCATGATTGTTTTTTTGGTTTTTATCCTTTATTGAGTTTTTTAATTTAATTTCTCAGCAGTTTTTTTCTGCCTATCTGAGCTATATTTTTAGTAAATCCAGCATTTTTTTGAGCTACTTTCATGTTATTTGATTATTGTCGAGTTCTGTTCAGCCTCTTTGATATCTGCATGCAGCATTTTCTTACAAAGTTGTTTTTGTTACGCCGCTTTCCACTTTCATTTTCTTCCTTTGAGTCAATTCAAACTCTTCTAATTCAACTCAGGTTAATACATTTCAGCTTGTGTTTAGCTTCTTAAGCGGCTTTCAGCAAAATCATTCACTGCATTTTCACAGGAAGTGAAATTAATCTAGTTTCACTGATTTTGTTTTTATTTACATTTTGCATAATGACCTGACTTTTTCAGAATTTTAGTTGTACCTGAAGCGTTGCTATATTGTCTAAAAACACAGAATATGATTTTTATTTATTTATTTTTTTGCTGTGTCACCCTGCCCCGAAGAAGAAAGCTGAATCACGTTCTGAACAATGTAGCCTGGCTCTTTCTTTCTGTAACTGAACAACCTGTTCTGTGGAGCAGAAACATCAAATGGAATTAGCTGTAATTGAATCACGAYAATGCAGCAGAAGAAATTCTTTATGTTGTTTTTTTCGGCTCAGCTCCGTGCCACACCTGTTCACTCTCATGTGTTTGAGTCATTTCAATTAAAAAAGTGGCTGATGACAATTGCTCATTAACTTCCTACTGTGTACCTGCAGAACTAGAACGGCGAGAACACACACACACACACACACACACACACACACGGCTACAACGCCGTCAGGTTCACAGAAACTGAGCTGAACGTCTGAGTGGTGGTAGCTGAGACTCGTCCACGACGCAAACAGAGCTCCATGTGTTCAGAGTTTGACTGACTCACGTCTGGCACAAAAGAGGGCGGGTGCTTTCAGGTTCAATAACGTCACTCTTCCTCTAAGTTCTTGTTTTTTTTATTGATCCTTTTAAGGGGGACTTGTGCAAAAAAAAAAAAACTTTTTTAACCTTTAAATGCATTTTGTTGTGTACTTGGAGGATCTAAGAGTGCAGAAAAGTTTAATTTAGTCCCTCCCAGTGCTGTAAAGACATCTTTAAATTCTGTCCATAAAAGTTATGAACAGAATCAGTGACAAAGGGCAAGCTTGGAGTCCAAATCTCACCGGAAACAAGTCTGACTTACTACCGGCTTAGCGACTTACTATCTTTAAAATCTGTTTGGGTCATATTTTTCCAATCCATTCAGTTGTTTTTATTCCTTATTACCAGGGCCGGCCATCGACACTTTGGCGCACTGGGCAAGATTTCAGGTGGCACCTCAGCCAATTTGTTTACAATCACGTATCAAATTAAATAGTTTTGTCTTTGATATTATTTTCTATCTTTAGAAACCAGGTTGTCCAATTAAAATAGAATCAGAAGCCTACCTCATACCTGCCAACATCTGCTGACATCATGAGGAACACCTGTTTATGTTAACCAGCAGATGCGGACTGAAGCAGTTCTAGGGGGGGGGATCTACTCAAAACTCTTCATTTTCCAGCCATTTGAAGAGCATTTTACTAAATTGTTAGGTTTAATAGAACATAAAGTTTGTATTTTATGAAGACTTTACCTAAACCTGAACTTTCTTTTGTTTTTTATTCACACACTGAGCAGCAGTAGTTTGTCTTGACTGCACCATATGATACTTATATCATGAAACATCCTCTGCACCATTTAACACCTCATGTAGAAGTTCATAAACCTGAGGAACCAGTGATTATACTACAGAGGAAATCAACCAAACTCAAATAAAAAGCTATAAATAATTGTTTTGTTCTCCATTTGTGGCGCCCTCTAGACGGACGGGGCCTTTAGTGTTTGCCTATACTGCCTATGCCAAGGGCTGACCTTGCCTATTACATATTTTGAACAATAAGGCCACAGTATTTGCTGCAAAACTGCTAAATAACTAATTAAATGGTTAACTAATTTTGTCGTCCATGTTTAAGAGTGCCGAGGCAACAATTGGAGTTTTTTTGTTTTGTTGTCAACATCTTTAAATCAATTTGTAAATAAGAGGTTTCTGCGCTGTTAGATAATCGGATCTCTATCAAATTACAAACACGCCTGAATGGGGCGGAAGTGGATGATGATCACTGGGAGTGAAACCTAGAGGGGGGCGGGGCCTTAAGCACCTCATTTGCATTTAAAGAGACAGCACCAAAACGAGTTGAGCAACTAAAGCGTAAAAGAATTATTATTTTTAGGTCAGAAAACCTAAATTGTAAATGAACTGTACTTTGTAAAGCAGCTTCCTGCGACCCGGAAAGTTGAAGCGGGTAAAGAACACGGAATCTTATTAACGACATTTGAATTAAGGATGTATTTTAATGTTTCTTACTGTGTCGTAAAGACTGAACTAGTTTGCTGCTTTTATAATTTCAGGTTGTGCTGGTCTTTAAGTTCTGCAGAAGCCTGTTAATCCATCAAATCAGGTGTTGAAGCAGAGAAACCTCTAAAACATGCAGGTCAGTGGTTCTCGAGGACCAGAACTGGACGTTTCTGCTTTAAATAACCAACTAAATGAAGTTTAATAAAAGGAGATAATTAAAGAAACTAATCCTTTAATCCAGTGTTGGAACAGACGCACTCTGCTGTGAAAGATTCAAACCATCTAAGGTACTGCTTTAGTTAAAACGGGCCGGTTCTGGTCCAGCAGAATACTCGGCAAATGAAGCAGAAGAGCCGCTGGCGGTAATCCTTCCATTTCATTACCRTGTTCTGGATGCGAGGCGCGTCGCTGCAGCCACAGGCGCTCGAACTCCTCCGGGCCGACGGCCGGGGAAAGGCACAACGTGATGGTGGCCTCGGCACTGGACGTCGTGACGGTGGCGGCGGGGGGGTCCGACTGTCGACCCGAATCTGCAGAGGACAAACAGGAAACCAGTGAGAGGACGCTGAACGAAAAGGAAAAGGAAAGAGTTAGCACCTATTAGTCATATCATTATGAAACTGATACATTAATCCTGACAGGCCCTCAGAACCAGACTGCAGGTCACCACAACAAGCACTGAACCATGTGACCCAAAACAACACAAAAAACAAATATGAGCTGCTTCGTTTTAGTAAAACMTTTTCTAACATTCACCGTTTTATAAAACTTAGCTGCTGATTAACTTTATCGGTGGGACCACCTGGATCTGGAGCTACAGGTGAGTTAACACCCAAAGCAGGGGTTCTTAAAGTGCCTGTGACATCAATTTTTTATAATAAATATGAATGTATTTTTGGAAAGATAACATTGATAACATATTGTACAAAAGATTTCATGCTGCTGAGATGAACAGTTGTTGAGATATTTGCATGTGAAGAAACAGGAAGTGATGTCARAGGAGAATGTCTGAATGTAAACAGAGCGATGCTAAAATGGCTAACACTGCAGACTGTAGAGAAGAATCGGATGTTTCTTTAGATTATTTCTTTAGATTATTTTAATCACTATCATAGAGAGATGAGAAAGAGTTGGAGTTCAAATAATATTGTTTCAATAAACAAATCCATGGTGTTTTCTTTCTCAGAGTTCCCCTTTGATGTCACTTCCTGTTTCACTTTAACTGAGCAAAATTCAAAACATGCCAGTTATATGTCATAATCAGTCTAGCTTTACGAAGTGTAAATGGGAAATTCCCACTTCACAGTACAACTGGGCCGCAGCAAAATAAGACAGTGAAAATGCGGCGAAATTAAGATTTCATAAGCCAGTTTTTAAAGCCTGTGCAGCGCCACCTAGTGGTGAGATGCCATCATTTCATGGGTAAAACAATCAACATGCATTATGGGAGATGTAGTTTATGGTTAATACCAGTTTAAAGCTGCTTATTTTAGACATTTAAACGTCTTGTAAGATCATGTGGGCCACATGAAATACTGTGGCGGACCACATTTGACACATGCTCTACAGAGAGGAAACGTTTAAGAGCGCTGACAATCCTCCCAAGAGTAGATGTTTTAGTAAATTCACCCTGAAGGTCAGACCATGTAATGAGCTCCACCTCAGACTCTACAGGCCTCAGTCAGCAAGTTGAAGGTCAAAGGTCAAAGTCTATTCTCTCTGAAGGCCTCTGACATCACTCACCAGACAGAACCGTCTCGACGGGGCTACAGTCCAGCAAGTCGGGAAGATCCGCGTTTGGTTTGAGCTTCGGCGCTGAGTGTTCAGGACTGCCCCTGCTGGCTGGCTCCGCCTCCGCAGCGTCCTGCTTCAGCGGCTGCAGAGTATTGAAGCTGCTCGCCCACTGGCCGATGGGCTCGGCCTGGCGTCCGATCAGAACGCCCAGGGAGGGGTCCGACCTGCGGCCCTGGAGAACCCTCTGTGTCTCTTCAATCCCACAATGCAACAGGCGGTAATAGAGGAGAGCCTGGTCGCGCACGCACATGTCTCTCTCCTCCTCTGGAAAAGACACAAGAGAGTGAACAACCGGGTTTTTATCGATCACACACACACACACACACACACACACACACACACACACACACACACACACACACACACACACACACACACACACACACACACACACACACACCNCACACACACACACACACACACACACACACACACACACACACACCTATGCAGTGGTGCAGCAGTCGCCCCAGCATGTCCTGCGTCTCGGCTGGGCGGCACAGGAACAGTCGCACGGCGGCCGTCAGCAGCTCCATCTTCACCCCCAAAGAGGCTTCGCTCCTCATGCCGTCGATGAACGCCTCCAACGTGTAGGGGGCACTGGAGACCCGCTCCCCGTAGACCCCCAGCAGCCACAGCAAGGCCTGCCTGCCCTGGACCAGACAATGAGGTAAAATTTGGTGTCGTTGTCTCTGAGAATCATCCCCAACCAGAGGCGGAGCTAGATTTTTTTGTTTTTGTTTTTGCAAGGGGTGGCCAAAATGTTTTTTAGGGGGGCACATACAAATAAAGAAAACTACTCTGAAATTTTAAGATGATCTCCATAACCATTTTCAGCAGTTTTAAGAACTTTTGAGCTGAAATTTTGTAGCCWAGCTAAATGCTAGTCACAACTTCAAGCTAATCAATAATGCTAATTTTACAAAAAGCTATAATTCTGCCATTTTTAGACAAATAAAACTGAAAACTGGTGAAGTAGCAGGCAAAATCACTCTACTAAATTCTAAATGGTAATCAAAAATTCAAGATGGCCACCACAGCTAACTTTAAATAACTATAATTAAGCCATTTTTAGACTTAGCGAGCTGAAATTTGTTTTGGTGTAGCTAAAAATAATCCCAAACACATACCGATTGCTAATCCTAATATAAGCTAACCGCTAATGCTGATGCTAATCTTATAAAGGGCCATAACTCATTCACGGCTGAAAATTTAAATGACAAAATCTGAATGCAAATACAAAATCTAAGATGGCCACCAATGATAATTKTAAATAGCTAAACCTTAGCTAAACATTTTCAGAAATAATGAGTTGAAATTTGGTTGGCGGTGGCAAAAAGCAATTTCCACAACATTTTGAAAGCTAATCTTCATTTTAAGCTTAGAGTTACTGCTAATTCATAAAAAAATAGATATTTTAGTCATTGGTAAACACATAAAGCTGAAAATTGTAGACAACAGTGATCCAAAATTCAAGATGGCCGCCATAGATAATTTTAAATGGCTACAACTCAGACATTTTTAGAGCTACTGGGTTGAAACTTGGTATAAATGTAGATGAGAGTGATCCCTAATAAACTTTAATTGCAAATGGAAAATCCAATAAGGCCACCTAAGCTAAAAAGGAAAATACTATTTTTGAGATTTAGTGTGGTGGTAGCTAAGGGAGATGCCCAACAGATTCTGAATTCAAATGAAAATATCCAAGATGGCCACCAAAGAAAAATTCAAATATATTTAGCCCCGCCCCCAACACACAGTCTGAACCCTAACAGGTCACGTGTCATTGTGCAGAGTCTTTGAGATTTGACAAGAATGTTAGATTTTTACTTACTGAGTGAAAGTTGAACTATTGATTTAAAAACGCTAAGCTAGCCGCTAACTCTCTTAGCATTCCTCAGCGGATTAACTCAACTTTTATCTCAGTTTAGTCAAAGAGGAGCAGAGCAGAAATCGACAAAAGCCCGTTTGTATTCATTATCTGTGTGGACACGTTAAAGATTTACCTGAACCATCCCCGTCATGAAGACAAAGAGCCACTCTGTTACAGCGTTTACAAACAGCTGCAGCTCTTCTTGCTCCACTTTGACTTGCAAATGTTTTAATCTAAAGTCAGAGCTGCAGGATGGCCGGGAGAGCAAAGGTGTAAAAACCACGTTGATAACATGTTTATCTGGAAGGACACGAACAAAGCTGCGTGTGTGATTTATGTAGCAATCCTCTGGTTTTGAGGTCACGTATTAAACTGCCTCTTACTTGGCCATAAAAATAAAAACAATGTGGTAAAATGCAAATGAAGAGGTGGAGAATGGCTTTCTTCTTACTGTTAGTTTGTATCTACTGAAAAGCATCCTATGAATCACTAAACAGAATAATTATGTACAAATGATTAACTCTCAACAATCTTCAAAATAAGAGTTTGGGATGACGTCAAATAGCGGCTCAGAATCTAAAGAATTGAAGTTTTAGCCTTTTTTGTGTGTTTTCTAAGGTCATTCAGCTGTTGATGTGATTATTGGTTTGGTTTGACTCTGGATCACCTGACTGTCCTGCAGCGTTTCCTCGCAGCCCTCCAGAGCCGAACACACAGTGCCGCTGCTCTGAGGACACACCCACACCAGGTCGCGCATCGTCTGCACCACCGCTGAGGTCGAGCGGAGGGAAAACACAGACAAAAGAGAGAAAAGGAAGAGATGAGAGGAAGCCGTTTGGGTGAAACGTGTTTACGTCCGGGCACGCTGGGACTTGGAGGTTTACCGGAGGTTATGTGTTCCTGTTTGAGTCCGAGGAGTCCCGTCAGGATCTCCAGACACCTGTCGCTGTAGCTGCGCCCAATGTGACCTGACAGGAGAGGACAGGAAGCTCTTTACAGCCACACACATTTTAATGAATTCAAAACATCTTCCTACAAAATTCTGGGTTATTAAACAGCACGGGTCCGATTTATAAAGCTTGTGTACGCACAAAACGAGCCCAAAAACTTGCCTACGCCACTTTTCAGGCAAAGGTTATGATTTATAAAACCCAAACTCGGTGTGAAAATGTGTGGTCCCTCACACCAGCTCTGACCCATGCGTACGTTCATTTTGGAGACGGGAAGCTGCGACGCAGAAGGTGAAGTGAGGAATTAGAGCCACACTGCCAATATCTAAATTACCTTTCATGTCTAAGACATTAGAAAGGCTGTTTTTATTCAATTTCAGTCCTTTTTAGATTCTCATGGTGTTAGAAGAGTTTCAGTCTGGTTTTAAATCTCGTCCTGAGACGGCACTTTAAAGGTTTTTTTAACTGTTGATTCAGGTAGCCCTGTTGTTTTAGTTCTTTTAGATTTAGCTGCTGCCTTTGATACAGTTGATCACAGCATCCTTTTATCCAGACTTGAACGTTGTTGGTCTTGAAGGCTCAGTGCTAACATGGTTCAAGTCATATTTGGCAGACAGGTATTTTCCCCCATTTCTATGGGGGAATACTCTTCTTCACCAACTCCTATTTGCTGTGGTGTACCTCAAGGTACTATTTTGGGACCCATTCTTTTTTGTTTGTACATGCTGCCATTAGGGTCAATTTTTAAAAAGCACAAAATATCTTTCCATTTTTTCGATTTAGGACTAAGGTGTGAATTGAGTTTAGGTTAGTTTTAGGGTCAGGATGGTACCTGTGAGGTTAGCCTTAGGGTTTGTTGTCAGGGTTAGGCTGTAGAATTTACTGGAAATGAATGGAAGTCAATGAATGGTCCTAATAAGGATTGAAATACAAACATGCATGTGTGTGTGGGCACATTTTTGCTATATTGTGGGAACCATTTTCCAGAAAAAGGCGGCCTCGTGGGGACCAAATGTGCATCAGTGGGACCAATGCCCCACGGGTACGGATGCTAATTTTGGGTGTGGGGGTTCGGTTTAGGACTAAGGTGTGAATTGAGTTTAAGTTAGTTTTTGGGTCAGGTAGGTTCCTGTGAGGTTAATTTTAGGGTAAATGGTCAGGGTTAGGATATAAAATTACCAGAAAATGAATGGAAGTCAATCCACGGTCCCCACAGGGACATAAAACAAACCAGTGTGTATGTATGTGTGTGTGTGTGTGTGTTTACCGATAGCAGAGATGGCAGCCTGAGCCGTGTCAGTGTTGACATCAGTGCAGTATCCCTTCAGCTCATCCAGCAGCATCACAACATTCTCGTCGTTAACCAGCTCAACCAKCACCTGCGGACGGATCAGATTTCATACGTGCAAAAGTCTTAATCCGGTCAGAATGCTCACCTAAGCCTTTCTGAGAACCTTTAGAGGTTTTTTTTTTATTGTTTTTGTCTTTGAACTTTGGCTGCTTTCCTCTCATTTTTCAGATTTCGTACCTCAGCGGTGTCAAAGCAAGACAAATTGCTACGGCTGAGCACCGCTACACTGAGCTCTACCTGGTATTTCATGCATAGAAACAGCGTTTTACCACGTCCTCTTATAAACACCGAAAATTACTACATGTACGACGGACTGAATGTGAAATAAATAACACAAAAGTACTTTTAAAAGTAAAGGTAAGAGAGTTTTATTCACTATTGAGTTGTGTTGAGTAGCCGCCCTCTTGAATTCTGAGCTCTCCCCCTTTCCTACAGGGGATTCCCACTGGAAGGGCGTTCCAGTACAACTTGTAAGTGGGAAATTCCCACTACTTCCCAGTACAACTGGGCCGCAGCAAAAGTAGCCAGCAGAAAAAAAAAAAAAGTCTACTTTTGGACTGTGTGCAGCTCCACCTAGTGGTGGGATGTCATCAGTGCATGGGTAAAATAAATTATGGGAGATGTAGTTTACAGTCAATGCTGGCTTTAAAGCAGCTTATTTTTAGACATTAATACATCTTTAACGAGCTTGTGGATCACATAAAAAGTTGTGTCGAGCCACGTTTTAAATTTATTGTTTGAAACATGTTCCTGAATATCTGATGGTCAAACGCTCCCACCTGCTTCGGTCCCTGCTTGTATGAGGGAAATAACCTGTTATTGATTGAAGCTTTTAAACGCCTAGTCGTAGTTTGTCACGCTTAAAAAGCAACAACAATGGGGGGGGGGGTCTGTCTCAGACAGACGTGATGTCATCAGAGCTTCTGTATTTGGTTACACACTGAAATATGGTAAATATCTGTTCAGCAACTCTTTTTGAATCTTATGTTGGTGCCAAAATACTATTTCCTGGCTGTCACACTTAAATCCTTGTTTTTATTTTTCCAAACTAATGTACATACACAACACAAACTTCCTGTTTGCTGTTTGAGGCGATTCAGGAACCTTTTATGCCTGAGTGAATCCAAGGTCAGAGTTCAGAGATTTAAGAAACATTCATCTGAACGTTTCCAGGTACAGGAAATTATCGACACAAAGCAGAAAAACAAACAAACAAACAAACAAACAAACAAAAAAAACTTCAGGAAGTTTGAAAAAAGGTTTCTCTTCCTGGAAGCAAAGTATAAATAAATGAGGGGTGCACTGAGACTTTTAAAATGACATGGAAACAAAAATCAGTACCTGCATCTTCCTCTGCTTGATGAAGGCCGGCTCGGCGTAGCCGCAGAAAAAACGTTTGTAGTGTTCCCCCAGCAGGCCAGGGACAGAACGCAGCAACAGCTACAACAAAACAAAAACATTTTATTTATTTAACTGCTGTTGCACATTCATTAGCAACAAAACATTTCCATTGATTAGATGATAAAACCAGTAAAAAAAGCAACAGTGTACCACCTAAGTTTAAAAACCTGTCGATTGAGTCTGGCTGCTTGGAAGTTAATAAGTAAAGAAACGAGGTCCGGATGAAGACTTTTGCACAGCTCTGACCCACCTGTATGTGGCAGAGGGCCGTAAACCTCATCTCCCTGGAGCTGCTCCCGCAGGCGGCCAGCAGGGGGCCTCGCGCTCGATCCAGAGCTGCCAGGCTGACGGCAGGAAGGTCGGCGCAGAGGCTCAGGAAGAGGCTGAGGGTGGCGGCCATGACGGGCGGGTGGTGGCTGACCAGGGAGGCGTCCAGCAGGGACAGGATGTCGAAGAGCTCCTCCTCCGACTGGGGCCGGTAGCGCCGGAGGACCCTCAGAACCTCACACTGACCCCAAACGTCGCACTCCTTCAACCTGACGGCAAACACAGAGTTTAGATCGGCGGTGTCCAACCCCTGGTCCTCGGGGTCCCCCAGCCTGTACGTCTTACACTTTTCTCTACTTTGACACACCTGAGTTGAATAAAAAACACACCTGAGTTAAATAAAAAACACACCTGAGTTGAATAAAAATGATTAACAGGCTTCTGCAGAACCTGCCGGCCGGCTGAAGAGCAGGAGAACAACTCAAACATAAAGGACGGTGGCCCTGGAGGACCAGGACTGGGCACCACAGGACTAGATGTTGCTGGAAGGTTCTCAGTAGGGTTGTGGAGAAAACATTTTATCCCACACAAATATCAAATCTAACAGTGAATAACAATAAGAACATTAAAAACTCTTTAAACAAACAAAATCATGTTTTTATCTCAAGAATTTAGCAAGTTATGGATGCTTTTGTTCAAGAAATCAAGCTCACGATTTCAGCCGTAATTTATCGCAGAAACAATCGGACCTTTGTGACCAATTCACAGAGTTAATGTTTAAGATATCACCATGAATTTTTTTTTAGAAATAATCCACCTTCTGCATTTTTTTGTAAGCCTCATAAATCTTTAAAACAAAGATGTAAGAGAAAATCCAGTAAAAGTAGCAGAAAAAGGTACAAAATAATGTTAACAGAGCTCACGTCACCAAACAGCAGCATCAAATCATCTTGATCTCTTGGAAATCCATAGAATGAAAACCGTTTATAAATAAAAACCAGGTGGATATTTGTTTTGTAAGCAAAGCCCCTCGACCAATGAGAGCCTGCATAATGTTTCACATGACGAAGACTAGCTTCGATACACACAAAATCAATTTCACCACAGAGAAGAAAACATCAGATAAAATCAAGTTTGTCATGTAATCAAACCCACTTTTCACTTGAAAAATGTCGCGTGATTTATTTGTGTCGACTTTGACATCAGCAGGGTTTCTCTGAATTTGTTGAAATAACGAAACAGGAGCGAAAATTAGCGAGGTCATCYTCAGTGCGGCGTTGTGCACAGTCACAGCGGCGTGGGAAGAAAATGGCCGCCGCTGATGACAAAATGTCAACATCCCTACAACCAGGGCTCTATTGAGCCCTGGTTGTAGGGATGTATTCTCTTTGAAATTTGTCCGTTTGTGTCTTCTGTTAGTTTTGAGTTTGCTTTGAGCTTTTAGCTACTGCTCTGCTACAATTAGCTTTAAGCTAGCCTTTGAATATTTTGAGGTGTTAACTAGAGTTTTGCAACATTTTGCTTTTAGCTGGTCTTCTGCCACTTTGAAGTCTTAGCTAGCCTCCTAATGTTTTCAACTTTATATACTTTTCTTCTTTCAGATAACTTTTTACTACTTTTAGCTTAGCTAGCCTCAACATTTTCAGTTTTAGAGACTATTCTTCTTCTATTAGCTAGCTTTTTATTACTTTTAGCTAGCCTCTTAACGTTTTAGCTTTAGACACCATTCTTCTTCTATTAGCTAGCTTTTTATTACTTTTAGCTTTTAGCTAGCCTCTTAACATTTTCAGCTTTAGTTACCATTMGCTAGCATTTACTACATTTAGCTTTTAGCTAGCCTCTTAACGTTTTCAGACACCATTCTTCTTCTATTAGCTAGCTTTTTACTACTTTTAGCTTTTAGCTAGCCTCTTAACGCTTTAGCTTTAGACACCGTTCTTCTTCTATTACCTAGATTTTTACTACTTTTAGCTTTTAGCTAGCCTCTTAACATTTTCAGACATCATTCTTCTATTAGCTAGCTTTTTACTTTTTTACTATAGCTAGCTAACTGAACATCCTGCAGTATATATTTGTTGTCAGCTGTTGGAGCTCAGGACCAACCTGTTGAGGAGGTGATGAGTGATGGGTTTGTTAATAACGACTCCTCCTTCCTCCTTCAGGATTTCCTCTAGAGCTCGGAGGCAGTTCACCATCACCACAGGGTCCGGGTCCCTCAGCAGGTTGTACAGCTCGTTCACCACCGCCGCATCTGAAAAATAAAAATAAAAAAACAAGCCTGACGTGGATGCATAGGTTTGGTTTCTGACATTTCTGCACTGTTCTCTCTTCTACTCATGCACATGAAGGTGAAAACTGAACAAGACATGTTTATACAGACAAAGGAGCTAAAGGTCCACCTATGTCTGAGCCGGGTTGGAGATTCTGCAGCTTGGCCCATCCAAGCACCGCCACCCGTCGCACGCAGGCCGCTCTGTCTCTCAGTCCCGCTGTCAGAGGCTGCTCCACGTACTCCACCAGGCTGGGCAACCTGCCACGCACAGACACAACCGTCACAAGCCCAGAACAGGCCTCACACACGGGTCCAGGTGAGTCTCAGCCCACCTCAGGTTGGTCATGCTCCTCAGAGCGAGGCTGCGGACCATGGGGTTGGGATCCTGGCAGTCTTTCCTCAGAGTGTTGATGACCAGCAGGGACAGCTCCGGGTTCAAGGTGGCGTAGGAACACAGGAAGATGTACACCAGTTTTTTCTGAACCACATCCACAGTGGCGCACGCCTTCACCATCTCGCTGAAGAGGTCGGACACATCCACACCCTGAGACATCGCCCTGAGGTGGAGGAGAGTTCAATGAAAACACACAAAAACAAAACCTTTATTAAACATTTATATAAATTATTAAAAGTCCTGAAAACAAGAGTCTGCTGTTCTGACAGTATCATGTGGAGTATTAATGCTAAAATCTGCATAAATGAAAAATACTGAAAACACAAGATTAAAACTTAGGACCTATTGCCGAAATGTTTTGCTGTTTTCAAAACAACATGTAGACACCTAATAAATTTATTTTTTTCCCGCAATGAATCAATCTGAGCAAAATGTGGACAAATAATTACAGTATTTTAATTTTCTTAATGCAGAATGTATTTCTCAGGAGGAGCATGTCTCCGCTGTCTTTAAATGTTTATATAAATGAAGTGATGCAGATTACGCTCAACTACAACACCAAACTACAGCTCAATAGCTGTAAAAAAAAGACAGCATTATCTCAGCTTTATTAGCTGTAGCAACCATTTTAAACTGTGTAGAAAAACCTTTATTTCCTGACAGTTTAACCAAAATCTGACTGGTGTGAAGTTATTTTGCTAACAAACAGGATTAACTCCAATAGTTAGTGCTAAAACCTTAAACAAGGATCTCAGACTGTGTTTTAGCTCAATATAATAATAAAATTAGCTCAATATTTCTAACATTGACTCAGTTTGTGTTTTGTAGGATCAGTTGGGTATGGTGGCCATCTTAAATTGGATTTTTAAAAATTCAGAATTAAATTTCATCCAATGTATAATGAGATATTTTGCTATCTTGTGTCGTGCCAACTGTAAACAAAACATTAGGTCTTAATGGTAAAAGAGGGGGAGTCAGTGGGGGCTACAGCTGGAAGTTTGTAGTTACGGTTATACAAATCCAGCAGGTAAGAAAAAAAAACAGTGATTTAGTGTCTGCAATCCACCTGATAACCTTCATGATGATGTTGCGGTATCGCAGCGGGTCGGACTGGATGTTTGGGTTGGACAGAGCTCTCCTCAGCTCCTTCACCGTCTCCTTACCGCCCAGGTACGGCATGATGACGACCGCTAAAATAAATAAAAAAAAAAAAATAAAAACTTTAACAGTCTAACATGACGCCCTACACATCCTACAGAAACACAATAAAGGTTAAAGTTTAGAAATATTACCAAATAAGACTAAAACCCGGTGATTTTACTCCTACTAAAACTAGATGACTGGTTTGTTTACATCCTGGTCACTTCCGTGTTGCTTCTTCTTCGTTGTTTTTTTTCCCGCCGGTATAACCCCGCCTCCTGCTGGCCAGAAGAGGAATTAAACCTCGTTTTTCCTGCCAGAAAAATACTAAAAAGGTTTTTTGTCTTGTTAAAAATTTTTCACAGTCTAAAATTCTAAAATTTATT